TGAATTGATATGGCTACGTAACCTTCTGGGTGAGATTGGATTCAGTCAGTCGAAACCAATGCATTTATGGTGTGACAATGAGGCAGCAATTCATATTGCAAACAATCCAGTGTTTCATGAGAGGACGAAACATATTGAAGTAGATTGTCACTTCATTCGGGAAAAGCTAGAGGATGGTTCTATCTCAACTCCTCATATTCGAACCAGGGATCAATTAGCCGATGTCTTCACRAAAGCACTACCCGGGAGTCGAATCACTTATATTTGTAGGAAGCTGGGCATGATCAATATCTATGCTCCAGCTTGAGGGGGAGTGTTAGAATATATTGTAAATATTATGTCTGTTTAGGGTTTCTGATGGGCCGTACGGGCCTTTGCTTATTTGGGTTTGGGTTTCTTATTTGTGTCTATATATATACACGCCTCTCCTTTGTAATTAATTATTCAGTAATAAGAATACTTCTTCTCTCTGTCCCTCTGATCACACGGTCAAACTCATTCGAACAAAATTCCACACCGTTATCTGTTCGCAACATCTTTATCTTCTTCCCAACTTGATTTTCAATGAGGACCTTCCATTCTTTGAACTTCTCAAACGACTCACTCTTATGTTTCATGATAAACACCCAAGTCATCCTGGAGTAATCATCAACAATTGAGAGGAATTAACGGCCACCACCAAGAGAAGAAACCTGTGAAGGGCCCCAGCAATCAGCATGTAGATAGTCCAAAGTAGACTTGGTATTATGGACAGCCTTTGAAAAACTCTCTCCTTTGTTTTCCAGAGATACAATGCTCACAAAAGCCTAGTTCAACAACTTTATGACCTCCAAGAAGTCCTTGCTTGCTGAGCATGAGCATGCCTTTCTCACTAACATGCCCCAGCCTCATATGCCACAAGAGTGTCAAATCTGACTCGTTTTTATCAGAACTAAAGGTTGGCGATGCTGACCCAACAACCATGTTGCCTTCAAGCACATAGAAGGTACCTTTCTTGACTCCTTTCATCACCACTAATGCATCTTTAGAGACCCAAAGTACTCCTTTTTTCACAGTTGTACTTGAAACATTTGGAATCTAAGGCTCCCAAAGAAACCAAATTCTTATTCAAATCAGGTATGTGATGAACATCAGCCAAAGTTCTCACTACCCCGTCGTGCATTTTGATATTTACCAAACCTATTCCAGCAACATTACACAAAACGTCGTTCCCCATTAGAACACTTCTTGTTGCAACCTTTTCATAAGTATGAAACCAAGCCTTATTTGGTGTCATGTGAAACGAACACCCAAAGTCAAGAATCCACTCATCTTGCTGACTTTAGAGTCAGCTACTAAAAGAACCAGATCAGCCTCTGAACCCAAATCATCTTTACCAACAGCAGTGGATGCCCTCTCTTTTAATTTCGAACATTCATTTTTCCAATGTCCAAGATCACCACACCCGTGACATACATCTTTCAGGCTAGCTTTCGATCCTCGACCCTTCGATCTTGATCGACTTCTTCCTTTCCATTTGTCTTTACCCTTTTCTCTACCTTCATTTACCAATAACAAGCCAGCAGATTGGCTTTCAGTTCCATTTCCAGAAGCTTTATAGCGTAATTTTCGTGAATGCAAACTTGGTCGAACTTCTTCCAAGGTAATTGTGTCCCTTCCAACTACAAATGAGTTAACAAAATTTTCGTATAAGGGTGGCAATGAAACCAATAAAATGAGGGCAGCATCCTCATCTTTAACTTTGACCTCAACATTCTTTAAATCCATAAGAATGGAGTTTAACTCGTCAAGATGTTCCTTCAATGGCATCCCCTCCTTCATTTGAAGCGAAAATAACCTTTGCTTTAACAACTTGTTTGTTAAAGACTGTCATGTAGAGACTTTCAAGTTTCATCCATAAAGATACGGCAGTCTCCTCATTCGCGGCCTCGTAAATCACTTCATCGGCCAAGGACAACAAGATGGTGCTGTGAGCCTTCTCATCTTGTTGATTAAACTCAGCGTCGGCCATATTTTGCAGTCTATCACCAGCCGAGGGAGTCCAAATTCCTTGATGTTTTAGGAGAGCTCTCATCTTAATTCGCCATAAGCTAAAATTATTCTTCCCAGTAAACTTGTCGATCTTGATCATTTGTGGAGGCATCACCAAAATCTTGATTGAATCGAGGCAAGTGCTTTCGATCACCAAAGGAAGACCAATTCCAGTCGCCCCCACCTAGAATCGAACACTAGTCGCCAATTGATCACCCAGTCGTCAATTGATCAATAATTACAGTCTCCAGTCACCAATTGATCATCAATTTCAATTGTCAAACACCAATAGATCATTAATTTCAAGATGCCAGTTCCCAACGCCAATTTCAATTCCGAAAAACCAATCGATCACCAATTTCAGTTGCAAGATTCCAATCGATCACTAATTTCAAGATGCTAGTTCCAATCGATCGCCAATTTCAATTCCAGAAAGCCAATCGATCACCAATTTTTGATGTCGCTCTGTGCCTTGAATTGGACTTCAAGATTGACGCAATTGATTGCCAAGATTGCAATCGGAAGGAGCAATTTCAAAACACAGGTCGAATTGATCAATCACAGAAGCAGTCTTGATCAATTGCAAAATCAAAAACAGAAGAAGAAAAAAATCCAAAACCAACAGAAGCATGTCTTTGATCACCACGCTCTGATATCAATTTGTTAAGAAATTACTAGACATCTTTTAGTGAATTTGGATGCGTGAGGCAGAGAATTTTATTAGATGAGAAAAGAATGTGAAGTACAACATGACCCTCTTATTTATAGGCTAAAACAGAAAAGAAAATAACAGATTAACTAAACTAAGTCTATTAGAACTAAAGTCACACCACTCGACAACACATGAGAACCATGGGACATTGGGATGCTAGTTATGCATGCTACCATCTAGTAAAAAATGTAACAGAGCTCGTCTGGGTATGTTATTTTTTTTGGGAGATCTTGTGCCATTGAAAAGTAAGAAAGAGGTTGTCCCTACATGTGGCCAAGATGACTCACTAGAAGTCTCGGCAATTAAAAATGGCAGCAGTGCAGCACAGGTGGTGAGTTATAGACGGTGATAGGTAGTAGCATGTCTAGGTTAAGTTTGTTTACATCTATCTTATTAACTTCACATCTTATCCTGCGGTCCCATTTATGTATATGTCACATTACCATCACTAATGGAGTTATACTTTCAGAACCTTTTTTATAACATGGCTTAGAGAGGGATCAAAAATAAATAAATAAAAACACTAACATCGGGCCAAAGTGCCACCACTAAGTGGCTACATGTTAGGAATCCTAAAACAACTGACAATATAATGGAAAAAAGTAACATAACTATGACAAGGATGATAAATGATGGACCGAGCAAAGCCTCCAACATGTTAACATGCTAAAATTTCGAAAGATAACTTGAGAGACCGACTGCAGGTAGTTTTTGTGAAAATATTAGTGAATGCATAATTGGGATGCTCAAAGCAACATATACTGAAAGAGAAAGCCATTCTAGAGTAAGGAAAAAAAGAAAGTAAAAGCCAGAAAATCATTACTAGCGAGAAAACCCATATACTAAAGTTACCTCCTGTTGAATGGCTCGCTCAACCCAGCCCATAATTCTGCTTAGTTGTGAATTAACCCAACGCAACACCAGTGTTCCAGATATTGTTTCAATCTGGTATAAGAAAAAGATTAGGAATAACCGGAACAAAAAGGATCTTCAAAATACAAAGTAATGATGTAAGCACGCTACTGAGACGGTCTAATCATATATAATTTTGACAAACACACATTTATAAATATGTATAAACACAAATGTGTGTGTCAAAATTTTATATATGATTAGACTGTCTATGCATATATATATATATAGGGAGTACATATGATAAAGGCAAAAATATTGAGAAAGTGAGAAGGCATGATTCATATGTCAAATATTGGTAAATCCATTTGAAGATGCATATGTGTTTGCTTACATACCAATAATTCTTTGAAGATGCATATGTGCATGAAAACAATCCTTTACCAATAATTCACATATGGATCAATCATTCTCACCTTCTCAAACTTTTTACCTCTCATTTGAAACCTCCCCTATACATATGCGTGTGTAGTCTCTGGCATTAGCAAGAAACAGAAACAAAACTATACTTGCAAAAGGAAAAGGAAGAAATAGAAAGTCAAGCACATTCTATCCGCAAAAACTAGTATCAGATAACCATCACAAAGCATTTTTTACTGGAAGTGAGTAGGCCTAATACTAATTGCAAAACTAGCAGGGTGATGAAGGTGTGACACGGATCAAAAGCAAACCATGGTAAGACAAGTAATAAGATTCTTCCCCTGAGAATTTACTACAACATGTCACCCAATCGGAGGAGTCCTCTGCATTTGTATCCTATGGTAAAGGCATGGAGAGTCTATGGCAGAGGGGTTACGCTCTAGAGCAGGTTATAAAAGAGGTAACAAGTGGTTTTTGGCACAGAATTTGGCTACAGAACTGCAGAAGTGAATATTAGTTTTCTATCATCCAATGAGCATCATGTATGTCATAAAAATTGGGAGCGACAATCCTTATGCAAGAATGTCTAGAGTTATTTGTCACTTCTGTCATCAGCTTGGACACACTTAAGTATGAACATCAATCATTTTGGTGGAGACAATCTTAGCGATTGATGGCTTCTCACAACTTACAGCATCCACAAGTCTCATCAAAGAAGAGATCAACCAGAACGGTGTCGTATTTTCATAAGGAACAAAGCAATCCTCACTGAGGAGATTCCCCTGGATACACTATGTAATCCTATATCTTTTTGTCCACTTCTGCTACCTCCTGCATCATTGGCTAGCTGCTTTAGATAATATGACTTGCAAAAAGTATTTTTCTACCCATAATGGCTGAAATCTTACTTGAACCATTCTGACATCCCATACATACCTAAATTCCTTGTGTCCATTAGTAAATCATCAAAAAGTTGGTTTATTAGTTACTTCCTTTCCTACCATTGTAACTTTTAGGCCCCAAAACTTTAAAACTTCAGTGTTTACCTTAATCTTGGTTTAAGCAAACATATGATTAGTAATGGGCTATTACAAGAATCATCATGTACGTATATGAAACGATCTAGGGCGACCCAACAACCAAGCCTTCCTGGACTTGACATATAAAGTAAATATAAACTCTACTGTCGCAACAAGTGGTGGCAGGATGTGGTTCTTACAAATCATTATCAGTTTCACGGCATGACTACTACTCTATTGCTTGGTTTTAAAACGCGCGATGCGGTCCGATGCGTTAAGGGTCCCGAAAGCCGATGCGTGATGCATGATGCTGATGCGCTCGCATCACGCACGTGATGCGCCCGGTATTCAAAAAATATTTATAAATTAATTCTACATATCAATTTCTACCTTAAAAATACTTACCTATCAAAATACTTCATTTATAACATAAAGTAGTTAAAAAAAGTGACATTAGAATCTTAAAAAGTTCGTGAATCAGAATAACAAAAGTACATAACACACAAACTACTACCATGAAGAACACAATTACACAATTAAATGTCTAATAGTCCCAATCCCTAAACTAAATGACCAACCAAGTGACCAACTACTGTATCGAATCRACTAYTGYTGYTGGTATCAACTCAGGTCRTGTTTTAATTGACTGYTGCYGGTTCGACTTCTGCAGCTCTGCTATCGATTACTTCTACTTCTTTGTTGTCGGCTTCTATCGATTAGGTCGCTAACAGTCACGTTCTATCGCTAACAGTCACTCACGTTCTATCTTAGTTAATTAAGAAGCCCAAGCCCAACTAAAAAGCCCAAGTAAACACTGAAAAAGGAAGCCCAAAAACGCAGCATACATGATGCGCTGATGCGTAAGTGATGCACGCATCGTGTGATGCGTAGGTGATGCGATCGCATCCTGGAATCGCAACGCATCAGACTCCTTGATGCGTTTTGTTCAGCGCATCGCGCATCACAGCGCATAATGCTCGCATTTTTAAACCAAGCTCTATTGAAGGGTAAATTTTTGTATCAATTTCTATCAACTATGCAACTCTTTTCCATGTTAATAGTGCAGGATGTCCACAAAGCAGATCTACTTATACTGTCTTCTTTGGGGGATGTTGTGTATCATGGACACTGTCAAGAAAATACATAAAGCAATGTAGAGAGAATTTTGGAAGAACTGAGAAATTGAAGGAATCTTATTTACGAAATTGGGATTATCTTTACAAATGAGGATAACCCAACTATTTATAGGTAACATTCAAGACACACAAGCAGAAAAAACAAAACTAACTATTTCAATTAAAGCCACATCTAACAAATCTCCACCTTGGCTTTAATTCTAGTACAAAAAAATTTTACTTCCGGCCATCAATGTTTAGGAGATCTTAAACAATGCCTAAACGTGTTCAAAGAAACGGGTTTTGTCAGTGCATCAACTGGATTGTCATTAATCTTCACTTTCTTCACTTTAATTCTCCTTTCCGAACGTATAAAGTGATAACAAACATCTATATGTTTCGTTCTCTCATGATGCACCTGGTCTTTTGCAAGACAAAGAGCACTCAGGCTGTCACAAAAAACTACAGTCTGATCTTGATGAAACCCAAGATCTCCAACCAAACCCGTCAGCCAAATCCCTTCTTTTGCAGCCTCCGAAAGAGCCATATATTCAGCCTCTGTTGTAGACAAAGCAACAGATGGTTGTAACGTTGCTTTCCAGCTCACCAAGGCATCTCCAACAGTGAACACGTTTCCCGTTAATGACCTTCGTGTGTCAAGGTCAGCTGCGTAATCAGAATCTGAAAATCCAGCCACAATACAATCTCCTTCTCCTCCATAAATGAGACCTACATCAGTTGTGCCTTTGAGGTAACGAAAAATACGTTTCACGGCAACCCAATGTTCTTTCCCCGATAATCTCCATACCGAGAATCTTTCGAGCAGCCCTCAAATCTTTCATGTCAAACTCAGAATTAAGGAGTCTTTTTAACTTCTTAATTTAAGCCATATCACGAGCCGCTACTAACATATCGTCCACATAAAGTAGCAGATACACGTGACCCATCAACACCTTTCTTATGATATATACAGCAATCATAAGGGCTTCTAGTAAAACCATGACTCACCATAAAGCTGTCAAAACGTTTTATACCACTGGCTCGGAGATTGCTTTAACCCATAAAGAGATTTCTTGAACTTGCATAGTTTTCTTTACCTTGAGCTTCAAAACCCTCCGCTTGACTCATATGGATTTCCTCTTCAAGCTCACCAAGAAATCCGTTTTGACGTCCTAAGTGTTCCAACTCCAAATTTGCTTGTGCTACTAGTGCCAACAACACCCGAATGGATGTATGACGCACCACCGGTGAGAAAATTTCATTATAATCAACCCACTGCTCTTGGCTATAACCTCTAGCCACCAAACAGCCTTGTATCTCACACTTTCAGCTCTTGGCAGCCCCATTTTCCGCTTAAAGATCCACTTACAGGTCACAACTTTTCTGCCTTGAGGTAACTTCACTAATTCGCAAGTTCAACTCATGGTTGCTATCCACACATCAGCCACCTTCGTGGTGATTGCTTCTTTGTAAGTAGATGGCTCAAAGAGCTCCATTTCTTCACCAACTTGCAGAGCATAGGCCACCATGTCATCAAAACCATATCAAATTGGCCTACCAACTTGTCTTTGGGGCTTATCTAATGCTATAGATCAAAATTCTGCAGGTTGGTGTTGATTTTCCTGCACAACAGGTACAGTTTGAGGCGATTTACTGTGTTGTCAAGCAGTGTTCTCACCTTCATCGGAACCATTTCACTCGTACTCCACCTGTTTGGACACACTCTCCTCTTGAACACTTGGTGTAGACAAACACCTCACGCCACGTAACATACCCTCCTCATCAAACACTACGTCACGGCTGAAAATCACTTTCTTTTATCAAGAGACCAAATTATGTAGCCTTTTACTCCAATTTTGTATCCCATAAACAGCCCCTTCTTTGATCTTGGTTCCAATTTTCCTTCACTAACATGGTAGTATGAAGGACAACCAAATATTCTTAAGCCCGTGTAATCAGCTGGCTAACCGGACCACACCTCAACAGGAGTTTTACAATCAATTGTCGTTGCCGGGGATCTATTCACCAAGTAGTAAACCGTGTTTAACGCTTTTGCCCAAAAACTTCTTGTCAACCCTGCATTTGTGAGCACAATCTCACTCTTTCCGACAGTGTTTTATTCATCCTTTCGGCTACTCCATTTTGCTGTGGAGTGTGCCTAACCGTTCGGTGCCTTGCAATTTCTTCATCTTTACAAAACTGATCAAACTCACTTGAACAAAACTCCAATCCATTGTCTGTTTGCAGCCGCTTTATCTTCTTCCCAACTTGATTTTTAATGAGAACTATCCAATCTTTAAACTTCTCAAATGACTCACTCTTATGCTTCATTACGAATACCCAAATCATCCTAGAGTAGTCGTCAATAATTCAGAGGAAGTAACGACCATCACCAAGTGAAGGAACTTATGAGGGACCCAACAATCAGCGTGAAGGTAGTCTAAAGTCGACTTGGTTGTATAGACAGTTTCTCCTTTCTTTTCCAAAGATGCAATGCTCACAAAAGCCCAATTCAGCAACTCTATGACCTCCAAGAAGTCCTTTCTTGCTGAGAATTACCATGCCTCTCTCACTAACATGCCCTAGCCTCATGTGCCACAGACGTGTCAAATCTGACTCATTATCTACAGGATTAAGGGCTGATGCTGCTGATCCAACAACCGTGCTACCTTTAAGCACATACAAGGTACCTCTCTTGACTCCTTTCATCACTATTAATGCACCCTTAGTGACCCGAATTACTCCATCCTCACTGGTGTACTTGAAGCCTTTTGAGTCGAACACTCCCAAAGAGATTAAGTTTTTCTTCAACCTGGGTACATGTCGAACATCTGTTAGAGTTCTCATTGTCCCATCATGCAATTTAATGCTCACCGATCCAATTCCAACAACATTACACGACATGTCATTTCCCATCAAGACATTTCCGGTTGCAATCTTATCATAAGTGTTGAACCAATCCTTATATGGTGTCATGTGAAATGAACATGCGGAATCAAGAATCCATACCTCTGATTGACTTTTGCAATCAACCACCATGAGCACCCGAACCATCTTTTGCTACAGCAGTGGATTCTTTTGTCTTCAGTTTTGGACACTCATTTTTCCAATGACCCGGTTCTTTACAATAGTAGCAGCTATCCCTTGGGTTTCCACTTGAACCTCTAGTCTTCGATCTTGATCGGCCTCTAATTTTCCACTTCCCTTTTCCTTTCTCTCGGCCTTAATCTCTACCTCTGTCTATCTCCGTTTACCACCGACAAGCCAACCGATTGGCTTTCGGAACTACTTCCTGAAGCTTTATGTCGCAACTCTTGTGAGTGCAAACTTGAACAAACTTCTTCCATAGTAATTGTGTCTCTACCAACAACGAACGAGTTGACAAAATTTTCATATGAAGTGGGCAACGAAACCAATAAGATGAGGGCGGCATCCTCATCTTCAATCTTGACTTCAACATTCTTCAAATCCATAAGAATGGAGTTTAACTCGTCAAGATGTTCCTTCTAAGGCGTTCCCTCCTTCATTCATAATGAGAATAACCTTTGCTTTAACAACAACTTGTTCGTTAAAGACTTGGTCATGTAGAGACTCTAGTTTCTGCCATAAAGACGCAGCAGTCTCCTCATCGGCAACTTCATAAATCACCTCATCTGCCAAAGACAACAAGATGGTAGAGTGAACTTCTCATCTTGTTGTGCAAACTCAAATTCAGCCAACCCTTCAGGCCTTTCACCAGCCAAGGGAATCCAGATGCCTTGTTGTTTTAAGTGAGCTCTCATCTATATTCTCCATAAGCTGAAGTTGTTCTTTCCTGTAAACTTGTCTATCTTGATCATTTGTGGAGGCATTTTCTGAAAATCTTGAAAGAACTATGGTACTAGATTCAATGTTGAGCAATCAAGAACAAAGATCCAGATTAATCTTCAAAAGAGTCGACAATTTCTAAATTGGCTATAAAAATCGGTAATCCAAAAAATTGATCCCCAAAAATCGACCATTCAAGAAATCAAAACATCAAGTACGATTGCTTGACACAAGTCGATACCTCCAATTGAAACACTCGATGACGAAATTGATTGAAGAAGAATCACTTTACACCGATGAATTTTAGTGATTTAACTGTTGCCGTTTTCCTCAAATTGACTGTCGAATCTATCGATTTACACCATCAATTTCATAATCGAGAAGCTCCACCTTGAATCGAACACCAAAATAGACCCAATCGAATGCCCACAGAAAGACGATTAACGAAAGTGATGAAGCGATTCCAAGAAAAATGACCGAGGGATTTAGCGATTACCGACTAGAAGGAACCCTAACGCTCTGATACCAGTTTGTCAAGAAAATAGAGAAAGCGAAGTAGAGAGAATTTTGGAAGAACTGAGAAATTGAAGTAATCTTATTTAGAAAATTGGGATTATCTTTACAAATGAGGATAACCCAACTATTTATAGGTAATAGTCAAGACACGCAAGCAGAAAAAACAAAACTAACTATTTCAATTAAAGCCACATATAACAAACACTAAGTACTAAGTAGCAATACACTTGGCGTTTCAGAAAAATAAAATGGAAAAAAAAACAATACATCTTTCTCCCGTGCAAACTTAGTATCAAGCCATGATAAGATGTGAGTTGACTTGGGTTCTATGATTGGTTCAGCAGTTAATTTGTCATTTATTTTATGGCAAGCTGGTGCTACCTCATGAGCCTCCCTCTAGAGCTGCTTACCATGGAGTGCATCCCCTTCACATGGCTCACAATAAATTACATGCAGCATATTGGACATGCTTGATCTAGCTACATCTTGAGGAGTGTTACATATGTAGAATTATATTTGTGACTTTAAGGTTTCTAGTCATTCCCTGTTGGGCCACTATGCACACCCCTATTGTTTCTCGTCATTAATTGACCTTTTTCCTTTATTTTACGGAGCTATTCCATTCAAAGTTTCCACTTAAAAGATAGATTTTCACCTATTGCACATACCAAGTGGTATCTATCATTAACATTACACAGCACATCCCTTCATATCTTGAAGACAACATAATACCAAGTTCTCAGCAGCACATACAAATTCATCTCAGTGAAAATATCAGAAAGAAGTACTTGTTTTCTAAGACAGCAATAGACACCAAAACATGGAAAGAGAATTTCTAGAAAGAAAACCGAGTCCCTGGAACTGAAAACTTGGCTAGTGAGTCATGCACAAAGCAAGCAGAGTTGTTACAGGGGTTACGTGACATCTGATTGTACAAGAAATTAAACTTCCCTAGGAATTATATTTACTTTATTTACTTAAAGTATTTACTATTTTACCTTTTGCTGATTGATTTTTATTATATGAGATTCTGTCATCAAACAAACTATCAATCAGGAACAAAGTAAAACACTACGGTTGAGCTCCAAATACTTCTATAACAAGGATCATCTTCAGCACAGAAAACCTGACAGTCAAAAACGGAGTATACAAATATACAGTACAGACAGCCAGTAGGTATACAAAACTCCATACCTTGTATAGAGCAAGTTTTTTCATGGAGACCTCTGCTTCTCCCTCTCCACACGAAGATGTGATAAGGTCCATAACATACTGCTCAAAACTATCAGCAGCCGGAAATACCAAAACTACATCCTCTGTAAGTTGCTCAACACTATTAAGGAAGGGCTTCTGCAGATTCAACCAGTATATGAAGTTATATATTTCCATATTAAGCAGTTCAGAAGCAATGATCAACATGGGAGAAACCATCCACAAACCAGTTGATGAGCTTACCAACTTGCTTCCATAAAGCTTGTGAAGGAGAGATGCTGAAACAACAACAGCTTGTGGATGCCACTGAGATAATACTGGCATGAATATGGTTGCATCCTTCTTCAAAAGTTTCTTGGTCTCCTCTCCTAATAATGCCATTGGGTGTTCATCTGTCGCATTAGACATTGTCTCAACATCTTGCAGTGTCTGCAAAAAGAGAAGAAACTAAGAAACAGTGCTTTATTATTTTTGGTCTTTATACAAAATTAATACATCTAGACTAGTTCCACTATCTTGGTAACAGGTGGACATGGCATACATCCATCCTTGGCCCAAGTGACTAAGGCCAGATTGAGCCAGAATGATATGACCCAGATTGAACCTTAGAATCAAATTTGAAATGACCATGAGATTTGACGACAAAGCATAAAGGAACATAGCTCAGTTAATAACTTCATAGCAGTTGAATGTTCCATCTACATAAATAGTAGTAGCATAAGTAGATGGAGGAGAAGCATAAACCAACTAAAAATATCAGACCACATACACAAAGTGATTCAAGGTAATATTTCTAACTACAACGTTATCTTTATGAGAACATGTGAAAAGAACATATCAACCGGAAGAGGAAGGATGCATCAGAAAAACATCCCATTCATGACACCACTTACCCTTACAAATGCACTTTTGATGGATGATGATACATAGGACTCTATCTTATCTCTATCTGTGACAGGTGCATGCTGCATTGCCTGCAAAACAAATGATAACCAGATGTGAACTTTCTTAGCTACAAGTAGGACTACTGTGTCGTCAATGTGAACTTACAATCAAAAATATGAATTATGGCAATATATCTTCTACAATATATTAAATTGCCTTGATGATGAACAAGTCCTTTATACCAAACCTCAACAAGTGTCACAACACAGTTCCAATATATTTAAGATACTGCATAGCCAAGTTATTTACAGAAAAAGTTGAAAGTGACATTTTACGCATCAATAGCTGGTGTGAAACATTTAAAGACAATTACAGATGAAAGTTCAAAGTAAGAACAGCATGTCAGGCAAGAAAAGTTTGTATTTTCATAATTCGAAATGAGAAATTTGAGATCATTTCTATCTCCCTATTTCCCACATTGACAGGTTCTGAATAGAGAGCTCCTCATAAGTCAATTAGTACTGGTATGCTCTATATATTCCTAACACAGCCTTGTGGATGTGAGAGTTCGGGAAACTGCTGCCTTGGGTTTAAGGCATTACAGATGGTGATGCAGCAATGGCCCACAGTGGTTCAAGTACAGTAAAAATCTATTTCCTATAAATTAATGTTCTTAGAAATATGGATGGTGCACAATAAAGGGGAAGAGTGAAGCTTATCTAATTGAAAGAAATATAACTATAGAGATTGTTCCAGTTGTCCTAACTAGGACGAATTTAGGTGGCAGTTTGTCTTCTTAATGGTGAAGAGTATCTATAAAAATATGGATGGATCTATCACAAAGTCTTTGAGGAATACATTTTAACAATTATCCCTATAACAAAAGCTTGTTGCCTTTTTCCATATCAGCTTCTTTTAGTCTTGAAATTCTTGTTGCTCTCTATTCATATACGCTCTTCCACGCTAATAGCAGCGTTTGTGGCATTTGTTGTATGAAAACTAAAATATCCTCGGTGTGATGATACTTGGATTTCACTCGGATTTTGTTCTTGTTTTATGCCTACACTGCTCCCAGGTCCCAGATATGAGAAATTAGATAACTTCCTACAATGATCTTCATTGATTTGAGTGGTTACTTGGCCACTTTGTGCTCTGGGCTTAGTGACATCTATACGAGTTGGCTTTGGCCTAGCGGGTAAGGAGGTGGGCATTCTTGCAGAATGAGTGGAAGGTCTGGGTTCAACCCCAGGCACCACGAACCGGTCCGTTGGACAAGCAATTTACCTTCCCAGTCCCTTGGGATGGCCGTGGGACCAATACGGAGGGGGCACGCTCCAGAGGGCAGCTTTTAAATTACTTAAAGCAGAAGAAAGTATGACAAAGCAAAATATTCTTTGTGTACCATGAAAAATCTTTTTATACAAAAAAATGTGGAAGTGGAAGCCTTGGAGTATAAAATCATCTTCTGAGGAGTCGCATTTTACCTTGAGAATTAATCTACGAGCTCCATTAACTAAAAGGGACAATAACTAACATGTAACGACCTCCCAAAACCAGTTTACATGCAACATCACCTCTCCCTCCAACAAAAAAAACAAATGGACACAGCCACCAACCAGATGGTGAAGCAGAACATTTATAGATGCATAATACAAGACCTCAAGAGACCAATGCTCTTCTATCATATCATTGTTAACTTGTCCGAGATATTGAATTATTACCAAATAGGCACAGCGTACATCATGTTGAAGAACCATGAGCACACAATGATACTTTAATATGGTTCCAGAATGTTTAAACAGCTTATAGATTTGGGTTTGCCTGCTAAGAAAGCCTTCAACCCTATTTGGACCTACAAGCCAGAGATTAACACTGAAGAACAAATAAAACGATGACAACACTGACTATCTTCATGTACATTATAGGATTAACAAATGCCTAATCCAATAATTTTATGTCCAGAGCTTGTCAACAGAGGTTAACTTGATTGAACCTTATCAACAGAAATGAGTAATCATGTACGATGTTCAAATTTATAACAACAGCATTGTTGCCACTTTGTCTGTGCATATATGTGTGTGTGTGTGTGTGAGTGTAGAGAGAGTTAATATATATGTGTGCGTGTGTGTAGAGAGAGTTAAGATAAATAGACTGTTACACACCGATACATGTTCCTCCAGAAGAAGTCTCCTTGCAGACATTGAAATTGAAACTACATTCTCCATCATCGCCAAAGCCTACAAGGAAAAGGCGGAGTGAGCATCATGAAGTAAACACTAAATGAAAATGGCAAAGCATCAAGTCAGAATAGAATTTTCCTATGGATATCAAGGTTAGAAATCATGCAAGAGCAGGCATTGCACCTAAATAAAATTTTTACACATCAACATAAACACCAAACAATGGCATTACTCGAATGTGACCTAAATCATTGTTCAGCACATACATAATCCTATCTCAAGGATCATGAAGTCCTACCCCACCGCCTCTTCTTTTCTTACTGCAATTAGCGAGTAGATGAGACTCAAACATTAAACCCATTGCAAGGAAGGCAGAGCCCTTGTCACTAGAAGAAAACAATCTTTAACAGTTTGAACTCAATACATCAGATTTAGCATGCATGCTGAACTACAGTACTAACCAGAGTTACTAATTAGAAACATTGCATTTTATTTGGTTACAAACCTCGGAAAAGTGCAAATGGTAATCTGCAAGTTGCTTATCAGCCCACTTCTGAATAGGTAGTAAAAAGGACTGTAAAAAGGTTAGTTCTTGAGAGCCCTCTTCGTTCTCAACTTTGCAGAACAAACTTTTTAAGTGCATTCTCTCTTGTGGGCCTCGTTCTTCCTTCAAGGGTACTTTATTTAATTGCTCAATGGCATGCCGGAGAAGTGCATGCTCCCTAGTCATGACAAACTGCAAAACAACAGCTAAAATTATAGCACTTCATAAATCGAATAACAAATAAAAACTACCTAGTTGGCTAAGAAGAAAGGATAGTAATTGGCGCCACACAGATCTCTACTTTTCTTACATCCTAAAAGATGGGGATTTGGGGACAATACAAATGTTTTAAATGACAAGCCTGTTTGTTTATGCATGTCATTAAAAGAAATTATGGTTTGTTAAGAAATATGGCATGTTGTTAGTGAGAATGATTCGGGTATGGAGTACAATGGTAGGCTAAATGAGTTAAGATTAAAACATTAAAATAACCAATACTATTGACCCCAGTGTAAAATAAACATATTTTGTTACCCACCTAAAACTGGAGTGTAGATATCAAGCATGTGCAACTTGAGAAAAAATCAAATAAGCAAACAGAAGTCTAAGCTTCAAAATGCAAGACAAACCCAATCAAGCAGTCCACTTTAATGATTTCCATCATTGATATCTATGCTCTGACTAGAGTGTTGGAAAATACACATTAGAATTAGAGTTCAGCCCAAGTACCGTGAGTTGATGCTTTATATAATGTATAACAGCTAGTAATTGAAAACTAATGATATTCTTCAGAAGCTGTTGTAAGTTGTAATTTGCCAATTGCTGATGCATATACTAAAATGTTGCACGTCCAATACACTGCTAACTCAGAGACTGCAGATATCTTTGAAAATCATTTAATCCACTAGTTAATAGTTACATGTAGAAATGACAATGATCTATCATTTAAAGGGATTTTTCTTCCACTGTTGGGTGGCATAACAACATGAGCTAAATATTTACATACTGATTGGTATGTGTTTCTTATGAAGATCAAAGCCCTGCACCATTCCAATTGCCTACAATTAAGGATCTCTTAATACCTGACGGAATAGCACCCATGCATAGCAGGTGTGGTGGATGGTCTCTGTTATTCCCAATATACGCCAGGTTGACTTTAGAAGCTCAAGTATTTCTTCAATTTCCTGCATACAAAGTAGACGTTGAACTGGCATATTTCACAGAATATATCTGCTTATTATCATATGCTACCACAGAACTATCATATATGAAGCTTCAGATAAGAAAAGAACTGGTAACTTTTCTAATTGAAGGTAGCGTAGACTTCCAAAGAGGTGTAATTTCAAATAAGGCTAGTAAATACAACAATTAATTTACTGCTAAATATGCTAACATGGTTTGACAAGGATTTAGGTGGAGGGAGGAAATTTAATAATGTTCCTACTCAACCTTCAATAGAAATTTACTAACCTCTGTTAGTTTTCCCTCGTCTAGAACATCAAAAATGCTGAGAAGAAGTTTCTCATATAATCTGACATTCAAATGATACCCGTCTGCCCAATGACATACTTCGCCGGTTAAGTCACCACGAGCTGGCCTCTCTGCAAGTGGAATGGCAATCTCCCTCAGAGATCTCAGACATTCTATGCGTTGAAGTTCACCCACAGAAGGTGCAAATGACTGAGATAAGACCATTTTCAAAAATGTAAGAGCATAGAACAGTATACTAACATGTAAGCATATCAAGTCTCATTTCAAAATCACCTGTAGGCCTCAACAACTCTAGGATTCATATCCCCTAAAGCGTCCATTTGAATTTCCAAGTCTTATAACACCCAATGGCAGAATTTGTTGCCCTAGCATTGAATGACTATCCGAGCTCTACAAACCCAATCTAATACTGACACACCTCTCGAACCTCCCCAAACAACAGTAAAACGCTGCAATTTTATTTTTTTACAGTATCACCTAGTATTATTGATTGGCCATGTTTTCATCAATTTTATTGCATCTTACTTCAAAATATAATTGTTATGAAGGTGTATGACTTTTTCTCAAAACTAAATACTTCGCAGTTCCCGCAAGTGAGAGTAGGCGAACTACACTAGTCTCACAATATAACTCAGCTCTATCAAAAACATTTGAGCATTTTAACCATAATTTTAGAAAGAATAAACTAGAGCAGAGACCTTCTCTAAAATTTCAAGTAAAGAGGAATTAGAGAAAAAGAAAGATAAGAAACAATATAGATAAGTTCAAAAGGGCATAAACCAAGATAGAGTGAAAACTAACCTCAGATTCTTCAATTCTTGCCAATAAAATCCTCATTTCACTTGCTTTGCGTCCAGATTCTCCAAATCCCACAACTGGGTGATTCACAAGCCCTTCCTCCAGCATATTCAACTGAACTAACACAATATTGGAAACATCTTACATGAATATGAAATAAATTTATTATACCTGCCCAAGAATAGTAAGATAAGCAAATGAAACTGAAATGGGCAATAGAGCAAGGAGAGAGAAGGAACTGACTTGTCTCTTTTGCCACCGTATATAAGCCTTCTTGTCAGAAAATTCAGTTCGAGAAACACAAGATAACAACTCCAGAGGTATTAAAAGAGCATCCATTCTTTTCCCCACTTTGCCAGTCATCCCATTGAGTAGCCCTTGTCTTGTTCTAATGTCCATTGCCTCAGAAATCTGTGTTTATAACAGTAAAATATTATATAAATGGGAAATCATGAGGTTGTGGATTCTGCTAATTTATAACATAACCCTGGGAGATAGTACAAGGAAGCCAACAAAAGGGGACCACGCAAACAAATTTATAAAGTAGTATCATTTGTTGAGCACAAATTTATAAAGTAGTATCATTTGTTGAGCTGTTGAAAGTGAATATTCCATAGTTAATTTTCATTAACCAGTTAGAACTGCTTGCTAAGATTTAATGTTTTTATATTTCCATTCTGTATCGTGCGATGTTTGGGTAGGTTCATAGGTGTATAAAGTCTTATACACCAAAAGGTTGGTCTCTTAAATTTTGTGAACCTTGACCCTTTAATCGTGATCAACAAGCCAAGGGTTGTGATTGAGTGAATTGAGATGGAAATAATGAATATTTTGACAGCATTCTCAAAGCATCTTATAGGTGACAAGGCATTTATGCACGTGCAGGGCATCTGGTTGCCTCAAGTAGGATGGCTAGGAAGGTGACACCTTGGTTACTAGATGATGCAATATATTACAATGACTACGAACAAAGCCTACAATGCTACTCAAACATTTTTTCATGGTATCTAAAGTTCTTCTGTCATAAATGCACATTGTAAATGACTTGGTGCCTTACGAAAGCCTAGGCAGGGGCAGTATCACCTTGCCTATGCTGTTAATTGCACCATTATAGTGGTGCTATTTCGTTTCTCGACAGTGAAATAAGACCAAGGTCATGAACTTATTGTGTGTCGCTTTGCAAGCGTGTATAGTTCGGGGCATAAGTCCTCGGGAAGCGATCCCAAGAACAAGGGTTGTGGGGTCTTCGATGGGTGTGATTCAAGAAAATGCCCTACTCCTTCCCCTTCCCTTTAGTAGATATAGGAAACCCGTTGGAAAGGTTCTTTGCCATATGGCTCTGCTACGAGTCATCAACCAAGAGACTGATGCTTGCCTAACGTTCTAATGCCTAAACTCCTTGCCTTCTTTTGCAAAAGAACAACTTCGTCTAGTAGATCGCTTGAGCGCGGATGAAATAAAGTTGTGAACAGATAATATGAGGATGTTTGACACCTAGATTGTCCCGAAGCCCTCTCATGTGAATTAAATCAACCTAGTCAATGTTTGTCCGGTTTTACTGAAGGCAAAAAGAGCCTAAAATAGTCAGGCACCTTCGCGCGCATATGTACATTCCGTCGCTAAAGTGCTCCTGCCTTTCCTTTTCAAGGAGAAGCGGTTGAGAGCAATCAAGAAGAGCTACTCGACTCAAAGATGAAAGGAAGCGAGTGAAAAGGAAGAATAGGGGGAAGATGACTATCTAAAGCCAATAGTCCAGTTTAGAGCTCGGATTTCTAGCTTATTCTATTTTGGGTATCATAAGAATGAAAGATTCTATATGATATGTCCACTGTGAATTGATCTCAAAAAATCCCTCGTTACTGCTCAAAGGAGTAGTAATAGGTAGGGATGACAGGATTTGAACCCGTGACATTTTGTACCCAAAACAAGCGCGCTACCAAGCTACGCTACATCCCTTCGTCAATACTTTTTTGTTATTTTGTAAACTTCAGTCAGCTAAGTAGGGCCTGAGGCCCCTGTGAATCCGTAAATCTGAGGAGCATGCCGCAACAAAAGGATGGTCCCCTATGCATTTCATCTTTTTCCCAACGTGCCCAGGCTTGCTATCATCCAGTTGATCGTCGGTGAATAAGTTCAGGTAAGACCCTTCCTTTTCTAATAGGTATTCAATGCCATCATCATTGACTTATGCCTCCTTAACCTATCTGGAGTAGGTCTTTATCGAGAGGAAACAGGGAGGGGGGAAGGGGGAAGCCAGGCTCGAAGAACAAGCCGAACCGTGCAAGGACGCGGGGATATAGCAAGTAAGTAGAAAGGTTCTCCCTTTCTTTCTATTAGAGTCGTGAGCTTGTTGTAGTCGGTAATCAAATCCTAGAGTTTAACCACCCGGTCTTGAAAACCAGTATAGTTTACTATCGAGGGTTCAAATCCCTCTCACTCCTTTTCATTAAATATGGAATTGAGACTACGACTGGAATAGAATTGCTTCGTTAATAGATCCAGATTCGCATCCGCCCATCTAAGAGATTTCTTCGTGCCAAGTCATGAGCTATGTGGAGCGATAAAAAAATGGGATGATAAATGATCATTATAAGTCAGACTCAATAAAATTTGATCAATCCCTTTTTCTGTTGTTAAGGTGGAGAATTGAACGAAGAATTCTCTTCTTTCATCATCAATCTGAGCCTTGCACAAAACCAACCCCCCCCCCCCGGTATCAGTTGCTTCGCAAGTGAAAAGTCTCTCGAGGTTTCGCCATGGGAATTTCGCAAGACTTTTCGCTGCTTTGAAACATTTTAAAAATATCAAAAAATTCCGCATGGTTTATCTCTAAAAAGTAGAAAGGCCCTAGAACCCCCCGGCCCATATACCAAAGCAGTTAAATGCAAGGAGATCAGAGCAGAGGAGCAACTCCAATTTATATGCTTTGATTTGATTCAAAAGTTCGCTTTCTCTGCTCTTCAAAAAACACAAATCGGGTCTTTACTTTAATTCATCATTGGACTGGTTTTCAGTTCAAGAGTCCCCTATTGTGTATTTTGATGCCCCTATCTTCAAAGGCAGAAGAAAAACATCATATTTTAATGATWTAGAAATGAATATCAGAAAAAGGATTGACGGATGGAAGGCCAGGTTTCTCTCTTTTGGTGGTAAGCTCACTCTCTTAAAATCAATCCTTTCCCCTATTCCTATACAATACCTTGGCGGTGCAGTCGTGGTTAGCAGTCATGGGACAAATAGCGGTCATGCGATTAGCGACGCTATTGACCGCTGAATGACCACATTTTGAACGCAAAAAGCAGCCGCATAACCGCTATTTGTAGATGGGTTGTTTTGGTGTTAAAAGGGTAACTTTGTGGGCTTCTATTTAGGACTTGCATTCGGTGTTAGTTTAGTCCAACACAATATCAAGGCTTCATTATTCTTATTCTTTTGAACTAGGACACCATATTTATTCTTCTGAACTTGGACATCATTATTCTTTTTTTTTTTAATTGTTCTTATTGTTTTGGATTTAGACACCATCACTTTGACCTCTTGATTTGAATAAAAGTATTCACATTGTTCAATTAATTTTATTTGGACGCGGACATCATTATTCTTATATATTTTTTATTAAATACATAAAATATGTCGAGTTATGTAAGCTTATATATAATTCTAATTATTATATGAACGGCTATATTAGGACCGCTATACCACCGCTTCACCATCGTGATAACCACTATTTCAAATCACGGTCCTAACCACAATTTCATACTTTAACCGCTATGACAGCATAGCACCTTACTTCGCCTTGATGATTTGTGTTCTCGGTAGGGATGAGAATGGAGGACCAATTACCAAAATCAAACCGATACTGACCCGTATGCATGTAATCAATCGGTACTCGGGTCCTAATTTTCTACATTTTCGGAAATCAGTACTTCAGTATTTGGTTCCAATGTTTTGCCGGAATATACTCAAACCGAACCGAAATATTAGGGGGGCACTATGACTTTTGAAATTCTATCAATTTCTTCTCCTAAGCTATCCATACCTTCTCCTATAATCACCATAAAAAATCAGCCCCTATTACTTGATCAAAGAAATCAGAACCTCTATGGATGAAACTCAAGTAAGTTTTTAATTTCCTTCATGTTAGTTTAATGTTCAATGATCAAGAACTTTTGATTGTTGTTCTCATGCGATTGTTTGTCTCTTAACCCACTTTCATATTTCGGTCCTAAGTGGTCCAAGTACCGAAAGTCCCCGTCCCGAAACCGAAATCGAACCAGTACCGAACTTGTACATACGTTCGGTTTTCGGTCATAGTTCTCAGTCCCACAGAAAATCAGTACCTCTCGGTTCGGTACCGGTGCTGGACCGATCTCATCCCTCGTTCTTCGCTTCTAGCCAATCCCAGCACCATGAGTAACCATGTCCACAGCTATCCCAGTGTTTACACTGACATCCCGAGTCATCTTTGCTCAATACTAAACTATTAAAAATTCAAACATGATGACATGGAAGTGTCACATGACCCTGGGTAAAAGAGCCCATGGAGTTGCACAAGTACCTACATTCGTACTTCTTTTCTTTGTCTTGAAGGCCTTCATGGACAGACTCAGATCCAAAAATTATAGCCATGTAGTTAGGACTCCCAGATTTACTTAAATGCTTTAGCATGATTTGCTACATAAAGTAAAAGGTTATAGATAATGCATGGAGTAAGATCCAACACATGATCTTTGAATTATTTAGAAAATATATGGAGATTCTTGTTTTAGTAATGGTTTTCTACATACAAGTGAAGGTTATAGATAATAATAGCATAAAGTAGACCTATGACAGTCACAATATCCAGCAGCCACCTTTTTAACTGAAAGTAATTTTCAGGCCTCAGTATCAATTGCTATTAATTTGATGGGTTATACTATCTTAAATATAATCTTAAATATAACTATGTTAGCCTCTTGACTAAATATATCATGCTTTCTGTGTCATGTAACGTGAACATAGACTTGCAAAGTGGCAAGTTGACTGAGATGATCATGATTTGCTCCCACATGACAAGGATCCACTTTAGACATGAGATTTGGTCCTACATCAAACAATATAGACAGCTCTACACTTAGTTTGAGATCAACAATGCTTGAAAGGGAAATCATCGATCACTCACATATTATGGTTGAGAAGCCAAAATAAGCTACTTCAGGGGCATATATTCCAGAGGTCCAATCATATGGAGCATAAAGTGCAGAACGAGAAACCCGTATCTTATACAAGCAAAGAATAGTGTGACCAAGTTGATAGACCAGACTTCCACTATGTAACATTGTCCATATGCATGACTTATATTATTCAATACTTTAGCCTTTTTACCATATATTGTAAATTTGTTGGATGCTTTTCTAAATGTTTTTCTATAAAAAATGTGTTGCTGCCTTTGGTCACAGTATTATGTGTATTATCTAAAAGATCATGCCATTTTAGGTGTCACTGTCCTCTTTCTAGTGTTCCATGGTAGATGTCCCCTTCTATAGAATTAGTAAAAGAGCATTTTTGTCATTTAATACCCTTTGTCAAAAAATTCCTTGTTATATATTCTGGTGTTCATCAAGGATAAAACTAGGAATGCATGGATGTTTATACTTTCTTGAACTTTTTGCAAAAAAAACAGAAACAAAAAAACAAAGGGGGGGAGTGTAGACCCACAGCGGAGAAGTAGCAAAGAATAACAGTTTTTGCACCTCAAACTAGTTGTCTAGTTATGCAAGGCTAAAATCAGAGCAAAAAGGAATTCTAGAACAAACATAAAGAGAATATCCCCCAGGGTTTGAGGACATTCGACACACTCCTATCTAAAGCCAATTCTTTGGGATGCTACTAACTCATGCAAATCTGTCTAAACTATTTCCCCTCATGTATTCACAATCATGGCCAGCCTCTACCTCTCCTAATGATCTCCCCTTCATACAAATCTCCTCTTCTATTCAGTGCATTCCAAGGTCTATGCTCAAATTAATAAACCACCTCAGAAATGTTGCCTCAGCTTCTCTGGTTTCTACCCAACCTTCTGCACGCTCCTTATTTCTAATCCTATCCTTGATTGTTTGAAGACATAGCATAGTCAAATTTAAGCAAATTATAAAAATGACAAAGATCTGGAAAGCTTTCCTATAGTCATAACACAGTGCATAATTTAAACAGTAAATATCCACTCTGTACCTCCATCTGGATGCGCATGATCTCCAGCAGACCAGTCAATCCAGTTGATTGTTGGGACTGGGTCGTAACCTGTTCACTCTTACTCCGTCCAAGCTTCTTCAACAGTCTAGATTTCTTTTCTTTCTTCTTTTCCTTTGACGGCACTATAAGGCCCCTGTTTAGACGATGATTACATAAAGGTCAAAAGGTAGCTTGGGAGGACCAGGGTTATGAGAGAACCAAGCACAGCAAAATGGGAACTTAAAAGAGAAATACTAAAATGGAAAGTACGGAAACAAAATTCAAGAAAAGACAGAGAAAAAAATACCCTGAAGCCCCAGCAGCGGCCAATAGAATTTCATAGGCGGTTTCACGGAGATCATCATCGGTTATACCTGAAGACATGACCAAACCACAATTTTGTATAGTAATTTCAGACAATGAATCAAAACGCTGCATATGACGTTTGCCACCCCTTAAGGTCCTTTTTCTAACAAACAATTGAAAGCATATGTCATTTAATGGTATTACAGAGCTATAGATGATGTCTAACACAAGCCAATACCCAAAATAAAAGGATTAAAGTTTCCTGATGTTGCATTCACGAGCCAATGACTTACCCCATCCCAATGAAAATTTATCCTCCTAAAATCTCACAAAATAATATCTTTAAGATCTTTGAATTCACCCATTCATTATCTTAGAAACTTTAAATATAATTTCAAGCATACATATCATTCTGAAAGCAATCATGCCTCAATATAAATAACAACACAAATTTCATATAAACCTAATTGGGGTAGAATAAGAATGGACCCACAAGAACCAGAGTACAACGAGAAGAATGTGCTAACTTGGCTCCCGCTGATAGAGCAGGTTTCTAGTTTGCTCTGTCTTAATCTCTTAACACTAACAGGCAAAAGTCACCAATAGAATACCGAAATATGAGAACTTTAAGCATATATATTCCCAGGTAGACATAACCATAACAAGTTCAATTTAAAGAAAACAGAGGTTGGACTTTCATTAAATTTAAATGTGCTTTAATCAAAGTTATCTTTGGAACTTAATACATTTCAATTCCATAGAACCTGCTTCAGTTCAGAACCTGCTTCCAAACAGATATTCATCTGTCCTGAAAAAGTTATTATTGCTAACTAGAGAACTACTTCTAGGTACTAAAATAACTTAAATGCATCTAAACAATCTAAGTTAGTCAAAAAAGTTTGTGGTAGGCGGGCATCACTAGCTTCATTTTCAACGTTCAAAAATGTAATTCGTTTTGAGGTTTTCAGTGCAGCTTAATAATTGATCAAAAACAACACAACAGCACTATGAATCTATATCATGAAAACAAAAATTGCATTAACTAAGCAAAGAACGGTTACTCCTGAATAACAACACTTGACCACATCTGTATTTACCTGTTGCAAATGAAGGCAAACCCACGACAAGATCAGAAGTATCACTCATCGTTCTCCTTGAATACCTAAGACTATTAATTTCCTCTAAATCGTCGTCATCCTCAAAATCCTCAATGTCATCAACAGTTAAATCCTGAACTTGCCCCAAGTTGGATTGAGATTTTGATATCATAGCGGGTTCATCCTCTTCTGTTGCCTCAAAGGGAAGTGATGTGTCTGGCATAATGGGAGATGGTGCCACAAAAGGTACAACTGGCGGAGCCCTCCTTGGAGGTGAACCTGATGATTCAGGATTGGTAGCCAAAAAAAACTCACCTCCAGACCCTGCATTCTTCATAATGCAGAAAAAAATATAAAAATAATAAATCAGAAAGGAAGATGATGCAAGGTTCAAGGATTACTAGTAACTAGTGCACCAGTGGTAAACTACTTCCATCCCATCACAATTGCAGCAATTACCAATTTAGGATGCCTTCATTAATTGCAATCTTTATTGTGTTGAAAATATATAAGCTAAATGGGCATATTTCCCCATAAGCACTCCAGAAGCATTTGTGATATGATAATGGTCCATGAATTTACTTCAATTAATAAATTAGGAGGCATACTGAAACATTTTTACCTCTGCGGTCACGACGTATATCCATCAAAAGATTATGTAATACAAGGTTGATTTAGACATTTGTCTAATAATCAAATGCTTCATTTAATATGCCCATATGGTCAATTACTGTTTCTAACTGGGGTACAAAGAGTATTGTTGGCCAACATCATCAGAAAATGAAGCTAGAATGTGGCAAGGTCACTTATACATGGTTTCAGTTACTCACTAAAACGATACAGTTTCCATCTTTGTCTACTCACTAAACAAGATGGATTATTATGTTCATCATATAGAGACATGAATTACTCGATTAGTCGATAACTGCTTTTCCATGATCACTCCTCCCAACACTACCAGTCTACCACTATCATTGCATACTAATAAACAACAGATATCTATATGAAAGTCGTTCTTTGGGAAAACTATCTCCTTGAAAGGAATAGGATATTGGTGGACTTCATTTGGCAAAAACGGCAGGTAAGAGTACTCCCTCCCTTCCAAAACAAGAAGTAATAAAGACAGCATCCATTTGAATGTTTATATTTCTCAAGCCACCATCATTTTTCAATATATTGCAGTTGGCAACTTACTCCCCAGAACATAGAAATTTCATATCATTTGGGATGCTAATAGCAGTTTGTTCAATGCTCAAAAGACATATATAAACTGTTCTGTTTTGAACAAAGGGAAATTCAACTTTCATCTTACTATATGAGGGAATCCAGTGCTATCATGATAATCTCTAATAGCATCTGAGAGCTCAAGCATGTCACCTGCATTATAGTCCAACAACAGGAACTAATAAAGATTTCAATTTTGTACAAAACAAAAGAAGATCAACAACAGCAGAAAAAGATTCAGTACCCCACTTATTCAAAGAGCTACATTTCTTTTTATTGTGGGACCTGGTACTTTCCATGTACAAGATGATAATGAACTTTGCAGCAAACTAGTATCCTAGTCTTGGTGCTCATTATAAACTTTAACATAGTAGCCAATTTTCCCTCAAAAGTTAAAATCCTCAACAATTTTAAGGCCCAAAAGTAACAATTTCACATCCAAGGTCAAAATGCAGCTCTTATTTTCAACCCTGAGGCAATATAACTCATAAAAATGAATTAATTACAAATTCACATACCTTTTTTCACAGAATTCAGGACAAAATCAACACTAACTTGATCCAGATCCACATCATCCAATGAAACAGCACCAGGTGGCATTACAACTTTCTTAATCAAACTACCAGATAGCAAGTAATTAAGAAGTATCCGCCTATCTCGCCTGTACCTTTGTAAAAGTTCCACTTCATTTTCCCTGTCACAAATACACATACAAATATAACTTGTGGAGAAATCTAGGAGCGTTATTAAATCAAATGAACAAATACACACAACACATACTCTTCCATGACCGATTCGGAAGCTCGATAGTTAATCAGTTACTACCAAGGCATTAGATCAAGGAAGAAGTTGAATTTGAGGAAACGAGATCTGTGGCAGGTTAAACTTGAATGCTAGAAGTATGAATCAAAATGCAGGGCGACTTCTTTGAACTCTTTGCAAAGAACGAGAGTAGACCCAGCAAGTGCGTGTGTGTGAGAGAGAGAGAAAGACGAATGTGTATTTATTGAAAGAGTCATATACGTATGAAAGTAGATTAACTCGGCACAGTATCTTGTTTATTCAACATCATTCTCTCCTCAAAAAGTAGAAACGTGACATAATTGGACATAATAAGCGGACGTAGGGATGGTGATTTGGCCCGACCTAGACGGGGACGGGGAATCCCTGCTAAAACGGGTACCGGGGCCGGGGCCGGGGATCCCCGGTAGAGGCAAACCGGGGTTGGGGCCGGGGCCGGGTATTGTATCCTCCGACCCGCCCCGTATCCGGTATATTAATAAATAATAAAATAGTTATTTGGACTTTAGGTAAATGGATTGTTACTACTTATTTGTGTTTGGGACTTTTGTGTTTGGGCCTTTTGGATTTGGGCTTTGGGTGTTGACCGGGGGTTGACCGGGGGTTGACCGGAGGTTGACCGAAAGTTGACCGGGGCCGGGGCCGGGGACTCTATATATAAACCGGGGCCGGGGATTGCAAACCCCGCTCCATCCCCGCCCCGTTGCCATCCCTAAGCGGACGGGACTGTATTCGATAGATCAGAGTAAGGTATATCGTTAAGAGAATTATCTAAGGTTTTAGGTGTCTTTGGGGTTATGTTTTTTTTTTTTAAAGTGTTTATTAATTTATTGGTGTTAAATTGGAGTTTTATAAAAAAATGTTTGCATTAGCTTATGTCGGTACCAAAACGTAACCAAAAAATACATACATATGATATTGAGCTAATTCTAATTTGAATTCCACTTTGCAAACTTTTGAAATAGAGGAAGTGGTACATGAAACAAATGCACCCATCTCTAACCTGAAAGAAACCCTAAATTTGTCATGGCCATACAGCGGATGAACAATTCAGGTTGAGGATTACCAACAATGTTGTTGCTGCAGCAGAAAAGTAAAGAGATGATGAACTTCAGGATTTGGAGGAGAATAAAGAAAACGATGAACTAGGAGCGGAAGATCTTGATGAGGACGACGAAGAAGAAAACGAGGAAGTAGGAGGAAGAAGAAGGTCTCGATTTATGTTTGATCGAAATGGTCCATATGTGAGGAAGAAAGAGTGTGAATTTGATGAGAAGTTTATTAGGTTTAGGGGGAAAAAAAAGGTTTAATGGCGGGGACCTCATGGCCCCGTGGTCCACATTTTGTGAGCCCTACTTGTCATACCTCATAAGCAAGCACCGGAAAAGACAACCTCTATCCTCCCCTGGAATCGGACCTTTGCGGGCACGCCCAAGGCAAGACATTTACGGAAGGAAGTACCGATCATTTAATTGACTAGGGTGGGATTCGAACACTAGACCTCCTAGGAAGCCAAGTGCCCTTGCCACCACTAGACCAACTAGTGATTGGTATTAGGTTTAGGGAAAGAAAAGGGTAAAAGGTAATTTGGTTTTCAAAGTTGATAAATTATTTCTGATAAGTTAGAAGAGAGTAAGTTTTCAAAAACTTTTTATTACCGATTTGGCGCTGGTATAAGCATTTTTTTTTCTCTCCATCTAAACACTATAAAATGTCTATTAACAGTATCACACCGGAATAAGCCAATAAACAATTTAAATAAGCAATCCCAAACACCCCATTTGGGTTTTAAAATAACTAGAAGTGTTTCGGTGTAATGCAGTGTGGTTTTGAAATTTAGAACTTAAACCCTCAATCATGATTCATATTTTGTTATGTTGTTTGTCTTTACTGATTTTACTTTACGGTTTTGATAAAATTAGAGATAGGTTGGTTATTACTTTATGGTTGGGTTTACTTGAGACCAACCTATTTTCGTGAGACTCGTGAGACCATATTTTTACATTTGAAACTTCAAAACAAATTTTTAGAAAGTAACAAAAATCTGAACATTCATAGTAAAAACATTGTGAAAGTTACACATTCACATTATTTTGCTAAGAAGTTTCAAGTATAAAAATGTGGTCTCGCAGGTCTTATTAAATCAGGTTGGTCTCATAGGTCTCATTAAATCAGGCTGGTCTCACAAAATCAAGTTGGTCTCACATAAAGTCTACTATTTTATCTTAGAATATATATCAATATAGATCTCAAACAAAAAATTTCCTAGTTTAATTTAAGTTTTATTATAATCTAGATTTAAAATAAAATTGTAATTTATTTAGTTTAATTATGATACTTTTTTATAAAAATATTGATTGAATATTTTGTTAGGGCATTAAAATAATATAAAAGGTTTATAGCATCTCCAACAACTTATTCAAAATAGAGAAAATGAGGTTTTGAGCTAATATGTTGCTCCAACAGTTTTCCCAAAACTATCTCCAAAATGGAGAAAGTAAAAGAGAGAAGGTTTTTTTTCTCCAAATATGGAGATAACCCCAAAATGATTATCAAGTGAGACCACCAATAGAAAACTTTGAAAATAAATATTTAGAGAGAAATAATATTTTAATAAATAAATGAAATATTTTAATATTATAATCAATGTGAATTCTTCAAAATAGAAAAAATGTTGGAGATTAATGTAATTTCTTTTTAAAGATTTTAACTTTTGGTTCTTCATTTTAAATTATTTGTGGAAGATGTTCTTGGTAATTTATCAATTTTGTTTCGTTTCATGGTTTTGTTCCACTTATTTTGATAAATCTTGTCATATCATAATCTTAATGTCCCACAAAACGAGTGTCAACAAGTTTTGTCATAGCATTTAATTTTCTATTTGGTGTAGATATGCACAAGACTCGGGCTTTTCAAGACCTTGGTCTGAGCCTTCCAAACCCATTTTTCAGTACGGGAAAAAAAGTCTAGACATTTTCAAGTCTGAGACGGTCCCGACAACACTTAGGGATTGCAAGAGGATCTGATCGGGATTTTTGTTCTTCAGAAAAGGCTATTTCAAGCGAGACTTTAGTCGGACCTTAAAAATAAAGGTTGGTTTCGTCCAACTTTTAGGTTACATCTACTGGCTACTGGCCTAATCTGGGGGTTTGGTTGTGCTTGACCTTTTTTATGTAGCATTTGGTATAAAACATGTTTCTTTATTTTAGAGATTTTATCATTAATTATCTATATCTATACTATATTATAAAACATTTAACAAAAACTCTTAAAAACCATCTTTTATACATGAAGTATTGTTTATTGATGCATATTACTTAAAATTCAAAATTACAAGTAAATTGTACGTAAGTACAACTTATTAAGCTTCGTGTTTGAATTCGTATAATTAACTATAGATAAATATAATCAAATACATGATAAAATTCTTATTTTAAATATAAAATCTAAAATATAATTAGGATAATTATTGAGTCATAACAGAATACTTAGTTATTATCTTTACAAAAATTATATTATCAAACCAAAAATAAATTACTTTTTCATTAAATCTATATTAAATTATAATAAAAAAATTGAATTAACTAAATTACACAAAAAAATGAGAATTTTTATATATTTTTAAATTTTTATGATATATTCAAATTTATATTTTATTAAGAAAAACATTATTGTTCGCTCAAAACCATATAAATTCGTATTATAACATCTGCAAAGACCAAGAAAAAAAATGAAACATTGAAATCGAGATATATCTCGATGCATTGCGCGAGTACCCTTCTAGTTATATTATAAAGCATTTGAAAAACTCTTAAAACCCACTTTTTATGACATATATTGTTTATTGATGCATATTACTTAAGATTAAATATTACAATTACATTGTACGTAAATACAACTTATTATAGCTCCATGTTTGAATTTGTGTAACTAACTACAAATAAACATAATTAAATACAAGATAAACACCTCATTTTAAATATAAAAATTTAAAATACAAATAGGATAATTATTGAGTTCTAACAGAATACTTAATTATTATCTTTATATAAAACTATGTTATCAAACCAAAACAAGTTACTTTGTTATTAAACTTAAAATAAATTATAATAAAAAAAATTGTATTAAAGAGATTTCACAAAAAAAACCAAAAACTTTTAAGTAGTTAATTTGATATTAATATCGATATATTTTTTCACAATTTAATAATATCTTAAAATTTTCATTTTTATTAAAAAATAAAGACATTATCGTTTCCTCAAAACCACATAAAGTCGTATTATAACATCGATAAAGACAGTGAATAAAACGGAACATTAAAATCGAGATACATCTCGCTGTATTACGTAAATATTATTCTAGTATTATTAAAATATTTAATACATTTCGTATCTTAACAAAACTTTTCAAACAAATTTTCTATAAAGTTACAAGTATATGATATCTCTCATCCTTCTTTTCCTTCCAAAATAAGTAAAAATATTAATTTGTCTCGAAAAAATTTCTTCTCTCGTATTTTTCTTTTATTTTGGAAAATATTTTTTAAATAATTTTAAAACAAAAATTATGTTAAAGATGCTCTTATATTTTGGAGACATATTGAGTTTTGATTTGTTCAATATTTTCTTGTGATGAAAAGTATTTGAAGAACCGAAGCAAACCAAAAATTCAATAAATCATATTATTTTTCGAACGAAGTCTTTTATGACTTTCAATTTGATTATTTTAAGAAAACCCGATTTAGGTTTATAACGTAACATATGGACCAATAATCAAAAAAACAAAATATTAAAGATCATTTTGTAAAATTCAAATGTAAACGCGCCATTTTTACTATAATTGAACGTTTGTTTAGATTTTTTTTATCTTTAAAAGTTGGTTAACAACGAAACCGAATATTTTTTGGTTTTGATCCCCATCAAGGAAATGTCAAACAAGTATATTCGATAAGCCTAGCAAGGTATAATACTAGTAAAAGTGGAGATCGCAAAAAAACGATCTTTTCAATCTATATATCTATTAAAAAAAGAACCAAGAGTATTGAGGTGTCATTATGAGAATTGAGTATTGAGGTGTTGGTGAATTGTGGTTGAGTTTAAGATATCTCACATTGATGACAGATTGAAATATTGGAATCAGGAGATGTGTATAAGAAAGAAAGATAAGAT